CTACCAATGAGAAGAAAAGGGCAAACTACTGCACAGTTATGAACGAAGCCATAGAGGGCGATCCAAATTTTTTGAGATTAGTTTTTGCAGTAATGGTGCATCGTCAACAGTTCATCCATTGTGGGTACGAGAAGTGCAAAACCAAAACCATTGAACCGTATTTTCTTCGCGAACCACTTAACCTATTGATTGATATGGAAACTCTGCTGAATGGTTTACCCCAACTTCTTCAAGAACTTGATAACATTGAGATCCAACAAATATGGTTTCAGCTTCTCTGCATTACCGTCGAGAAGTTGGATTCATTGCATGGCCTCCTCGATCATATAGCTTAAACACCACCAGTCCGAGCTCTGGTCTACCGAGTTATCAAATACTTTGTGCATTTGGTTTTTCTTTTTTCCTTATTCGTGTTTGTTTGAGCAACACCATCGTTATTTTCTTTGCGTTTCTCGGAAAAACTATGAAAAGTCGTCGTCGAAAGCTTATTCATAAACACTCTTGGTTGGTTACGTACAAATCGCGTAGGTAACAGAAAGTTTTGTGGAATTATTAATTTTAATTGGGCGTCTCGCGCTTTCGCAGAATTCATCGGCATTTTCGTTCTCCCTGTCCATAATTCATAATAAGCATAAATATCATTTGATATGCCTACGAAGAATTCGAGAAAATTCCCTCAGATCCGTTTTCTTTTCGCTTTTTAAGTAGATTTCGGTGCGATTTTCATTCTAATAATTTGCATTAACTTTTATTCAAAAAATGAACCGTGAGTATAAATAGTCGTGGACGTTCTCACCCCGTATTGGGAATATGCACGTGCCCCACATACGCCCATTGTCGAGGGATTTGGACTTTAAATGGATCAACTTAGTTCGGTGTATTCCAAATACGTTTCCCGGTGAAGCTCACCATGTGAATTGACTACACCGGCTAATTTAACATTTGAAATGCGTATTCAAAAGTATTGTTGCACGTTCTCACGCGCTTTTGTATCCTGTTGCAAATACGCTGAATAATACTCGAGATTAACCGCTGGACATTCAAAATTGGTAAAGTTGTATCCAACAATTTACAAACTTAAATGCTCAAAATTTGGTACAAACAAAACTGAATATTATACAGGATTCCCACTTTTTCAATAGAATTATATATGTTAAATCATTCACGATACAGGGTAAGTTAGATCTGATAATAATGCCCTCAAGTCACTAAAATTAAAATTTTAAAAGATGTAGTTATTTATTTTAAATACAATTCAATTCGTTTTTATTAATAAATAATGTGCCCTTTTCAATTTTTTGCTTCGGTAGATTTGTCGTAATTCGGTCACTGATTAATTAATAGATTGTTTCATTCATTGAATATTCCGATATACAATTGTTTTTTTTTTCGAAAACGGGTAACAATAGACACGGAGTACTAATTATAAAATTGGTTTAGTATTTTAAAAACAATATGAAAATACGCTATTGAAAATTTGAATATTGGCAGAAGTTGTTTGTATAGGAAAAACAAATGAATTCGGAATAGTCTTATTTTGAACCCTTGTGAACTTGTGTTTTATAAAATTCGAAATAAATGTGCTATGCTTCTTAATGCTTAATCATTATTGTACCGTAAAACTTAGTCTACCAATGATGATGTAATAATGTTATTAACCTTTTTATCTACTCGTAAGCATTTTTGGGCCAATACATTTGGTTCTTAACACTTCAACTAGTTGTTTTTTGTACAATTATCTTCAAAATAGAGATCATTCTTACTACGGTACTTTTTGCAGCTGATCGTTGTTACTACTGCTACAGTGTTTAAATAATATATATTTTGCTTTTCTACGCGAAATTAATAAATTTGAGTTAAATATTTTTGTGTTCATTCCAGCAACCGTTGGATATCTTTAATGCAAATACCCTTGTCAATATTTTTAAAACTAAATTTTAATAACAATTCACTTACATCGTTCCTTCCTTGGAATGTTAGTTAACTCCGTTGTTCTCCCATACCCTCGTTCCATACCATGCGTTCTCCCATACCCTCTGACGTTTTTAGAAGAATTGCCGGCAAATTTTGCATTAAAAATATAAACTATTGCGAAATTTTTATTTGTTATTTCACATTATATTACAATTACGTAAATTAATGACAGCCTAATTTAGGAACGATTGGAGTTCTTAAATCCGAAATACGTAATTTATGGGAAAATATCGTTCCAATCTATCTGAAGTTTACTATATGGATTATATAAGTTGATCACCCTGCATTGCAAATTGACATTTTATTATAGAAAGCAAAATACTAAAACTGAAGAATTTGTTTTTTTAATATTCTTTAGTCCTGTGATAATTTTGGTTAGTTGAGAGAATTTAGCGGCTAAATACATAACTTTTATCTCATTTAATCAATTTTTACTGGTTTAAAAGTACCCATACCATCCCATTATGAGGCCATCTCGTACAAATGTTGGGACAGTTTATTTATTGACGTTACATAAAGGTATATTAAAATTGAAACTTTCATTTGCTCGTTTTACTCAGTTATCGCGCGAGATCCAATTCTAAATAGGTTCAGGGTCGGACTGAAACTTCCACTCTCTGTTTCGATTGAGTAATACACACATTAATGCCCACATATATACTTGGACCAGAAATATAGTGCTTTTACAACCGGCCCCGTGAATAACGTTGCCTACTTTTTATTACTCCAAAACCGCAGCCCCTGCCGAGCGGACCCTTACCCGTTACCATCCCAGGACCGTCCTAGGAATTCATCTACTCACACTAACAAGTATGTTTTCAATCTTTTTCGCCGAGCAATTCTTGAAGCATGTAAATAAAAAATTAGTACAAAGTAACAATTCATTACGTTCTATTTCATTACATTTCTATATAGTATCATTATAAGTATCAGTCACTTAAAAAATCGTGACTATCGCTACTGTCGCCACCTAGTTCAATGATCAACTCCGCCACTAACGTACAGAAATTCTTTAATTTCATTTTTATTTGATTGATTATCCAACACAATAACAGTATTTGGCGCTAGTTTTGGCATCACTTTATTTTCAAACCAGTCCTCAAATATTTCCGCGGTTATGTTTTCATGGAAATCCGCACTTGAATCTTGAAAATAAGGCCACCCAACCATTTTTGGACCCAGCATGAAGAATTATTATGCGTTTTCCACGTGAAGGAGGCACGTCTGGTACACACTTGTTGCTGTTATCACACCATCCTTTTTTTACTTTGTATTAAGTGTCGAACCTCGTTTCCATTTTCCATTTCCAAAAAGTGCGCACAACTTATGTTTAAGTATGTCAGTGCTTTTTTATGCAGTTCTTCTAATTTTAAAAACTATTCACTCTATAAGCGTCGGAGATTATACGCCTAATAAAATCTGCGTGTTGCTCGTGAAGTACCAGCATTTCCTCTTGACTATCCCATTTACAACAATTTTTCTTACAGTTGACTTCAGAACTTTGATGATGTCACTTGTTTTTATTGCTGTTCCTATTTCCTCTTCTGAATTTCTTATAAAATTGTAAACATTCAAAGCACATTTTAAAGTGATAAAAAACAGGAACCTTCAAAAAGTGTAAGATTCTAATAAATATTTATCTGTATTCTTCTGACGTACCTTTATCTACCGCGATTCTAATCTATAGTCTTAGTTATTTACAAATCGAAGAACTATGTAGAAGACCCAAAAACACAAGAAGAAGATTGTTGTTAATTGACAGACACATTATTTTCAAACTCACCTGTACGATAAATAGAGTGCTGGTACTTACCTTACCTTGTGAAATATCCAGTGAAAACAGCCTCGCAAGGTCAAAGCTCGAGAATCAGGTGCATAAGTACGTACTTACTGAAACGATCACATTCAAATACCTCCGTAATACATAAGAAGATTAAGATTTTACATTAAACTCTTAAGAACGGTACATATCACATGATAGAATAAACGCCTCTTCAGCATCAATGCTTAATCAAATTTAAAACGATCCATTTACGTTTCAAATAAAAATTTCAAGTTTGTACAAATATTCGTTACGGTCCATTTCAGTTAAGACCCACTTAATGCAGAATAAACATCTGTTGGAATGGGTTTTACTACGGTCCTGTGAAGGTCTGCGGTAAAGGTACTGTAAAATATCTAAATCTTCAAAGCAAAAATGCACTATGTTTTTGGTCGTATTATAATAATTATCACAACCATTACGAAAATCATAAATTATAATCTGGTTTATCAGTGACTAGAGAAATTAGTAAAAATGTCAACTTCAATCGCACGCTACACTGTCATCACTTAATACGAAAGGAGGGTAAAATAAAACGCATTTTGTTATGCTTCGAATTAGTTTAATCTTTCTGTGATTTACATTACCACAAGTCAACCTGAAAATTGGAATACCCTCTTTACCTTCTTCAGATCAATTGAATTTAATTTGAATCGTCCAAACAGGTAATCGATCCATTTGCCGCCAATCAAAACACCGACCCCTTCACGATTTTGCTTTACTTGTAACTCATTATCGAGTATTAAGTGTGATTCGTGAAAACGACACTTGCATGCATCCTTTTGTCAATATAAGAGTTTATCAATTTCGCTTGCGGGTTAAAGGTTATGTTCTCAAATCGATATTGCAAGCTGCGAATCAGTCAGTCACAGATTAACTATGTTTGGTTTTCAATTCGCCTTAATTTTGCTCATCCTCTTGCGTGAAAAAATACTGGGGTTCGCTTCATTGTGCGAACCAAATAGTCAGTTTAAATTTTATTGTTTTCCCATCGATGCGTGCAATCCGTTACAACTAAATTTTTGCCGTTTCGACGAATGTGGATTTTATTACGACGGAGGTACGACTTTGGTGAAAATCAAACGCACCAAGGTGTTACCTACCTGTGCGTTTATAAACTCTCCTGTACTCGAAGTTATTTACGGAGTTAACAGTGGTCTAGAGGTGCTAGCCTCAGGTGCGTTTAGAAATTTGCCAAAATTAAGGGGCATTCACCTGGCGTTTAATTCGATTAGAGAATTGCGAAATGGCGTATTCGAAAACGTTTCACTCTTAACACTTGACATGAGTTGGAACAAGATAGTTTATATCGATAAAGATGCATTGGATGGGATTAAAGGTCTTCGGTACCTTAATCTAAGTAGAAATTCCTTGATGACGGTGCCAATGAGTAATTTCCCATCAAGTTTAACAAACCTTAATTTATCATATAATTTGTTGGACCGAATGCTGCTAAATTCAAACAGGTTTTCTAATTTGACCGTTCTGGATTTTAGTTACAATTTTATAAGCAAGGTTGCAATTTCATACAGCTATCCGTTGCAGGAAGTCGATTTGACTAACAACAACCTGCGTGCATTTGATTTCGTCGACGTAGTATTTGTGGAATTGCTTAAAATCGCGTCGAACAAGTTCGTCAACGTTCCCGAACATCTGCTTTATTTAAACGCTCGTAAACTGGATATATATCCTAATCCGTGGAAATGCGATGAACTTAGAAATGCCTGGCGGCATTTTTATCGTAACGGTGTTAATGTGATCAACAAAAGTAACTTGAAATACTGCGTGGAGACCAATCAGCATTTATACGATCAGGCTGATAAATCTAAGTTAGATTGCTATCGATGTTCCGAAGATTCGGATTGTCCCACCTGGATGGCCTGTAGAGGCGGAAGCTGTTGGAATCCGTGTGAAGATCGCCACCTTTGCGATGCTAGCAGTATTTGCTACGCAAGCAATCATACATTTGAATGTAATTGCCCAGCGAATCAGCTAAGAAATCCAATGGACATTTACTCGCAATGTGACCGTGTAGAATGTTACGATCAGAGTAATTGTAATGCCGATCAAGTTTGCAGCAACAACAAGTGCTCTGAGGGTATTATCAGTCATTCTCATCCCTTACAGCCTGCTTCACCAATAGAGCCGTCAGAAGAAAAAGAAGAGCCTTGGTGGTTTGAGGAAATTCCTAAAGTGCAGCCTCAATTTGACGGGTCCCCTAAAGCGAATATCTCAATGAGTATTCATTGAAGAAAGCCTTCCATGACTGTTAAGTAGCATTTTAATTCGCAATGAATGTATTGAATTGTATTTTGTGTTTTTTAGTGACACAATGTTTGATAGTAAAAACTTTTGACGCCTCAATCATATTCTTATTTCCTTGAGAAACACACAGTTAAACACATGTGCACTCATACAGCCAAACAAAAACACGCTCACATGCATAGATACACATACATTAAAGGACAAATACAGAAACAGTAAACAGATAAACCATTAAACACGCACGCACCGAAACGCACACTCACCTACACACGTACAACAACACATACACACGTACCGAAACGCACACTCCCACATTCACTCGCACATTGATTCACACATTCACTCACACATTGACTCACACATTCACTCACACATTGACTTTCACATTCACTCACATAACACACGCACACACAACACACGCACACACAACACACGCACACACAACACACGCAGAACACACACACGCACAACGCACACGCGCACAACACACACGCACACAACACACACGCACAACACACACACGCATAACACACACACACGCACAACACACACACACACACACACACACACACACACACACGCACAACACACACACACACACACACACACACACACACACACACACACACACACACGCACACACACACGCACACACACACAACACACACATACACACACACACACACACACACACACACACACACACACACACACACGCACACACGCACACACACACACACATACACCCAGCAGACAGGTAGACGAACACACAAATGCACGTACAAGCAGCAACACATACACAAAGGCAGACATGCAAACGTGCATGGATAAACCGAAGAACAAACACAAAAACACACACGCACATCTTGAAGACATCTTGTCAATTAAACACTGACCTTGCGCATGTACATGCAGCACAACGGAGAACACTATTTATAAGTTTGCTATTTGTGTTTCCAGTTGTGCGTTGTTTGGGGAACCGACAACCCTCCAGAAGTCGTCAATCCCGTTCAGCTTTGCGTCCAAGACAGGCAGGAAAACGGTAGACGCGGAAATCGAAAGTTTATTAAGTGAAATGTATCATTTAGGACTGTTTTTAATTATTATTCTCAATAAATTTGTTAAGTTCAAGCGTGTGTATTATTTGGTATGCTTGATGGCGTTTTATCGCCCAAATAATGACTAGCAAAGAAGTATCAAAAACTATCTCTAAAAATCTGTGATTGGTTCAAGCTAGATTCGCCCCACTCTTAAATGGTCGAAAAACGGCGAGCGTTAGGATCGAATTCTGTGATTGGTCAAATTTGGCGAAATTTCAAAATTATCACAGTCAACCAATTTCAACATATTCCCTAAAATTTTCTTGACCAATTGATGGATGCGCAATATTTTAAAATTTGTTGCTCCTGATACTTTTCATACCTCCTCGCCATTTCTGCTCTCCTGGTGAAAATTGACAAATTTTGGCAAAACCTGCCAGAATTGTACAGAAATATTGTTTGTCTATTTAAATGCGTGCCATATGTTTGAAAATGTTCTAGAACATCATAGAATTTTCATCATTTTTCGCGATGTTGCCAGATTGTGCCGAATTTCCGTAATTTCAGGAGAAGGGTCTATTTTTGTCATCGAATTTTCTCACATTTTAGGAAATTTATCACAATTTGGCACCACCGCAAAAATGCTCAAAATTCTATGACGTTCTAGAACATTTTTAAAGTTATGGTGGAGGCGCACATTTATCTAGCTGATCGTTTTGTGCACAATTTTGCCAGATTTAAACAAACTTTGTCTATTTTTACCAGGAGAGCAGAAGTGGTGAGGAGGTGTGAAAAGTATCAGGAGGAACGTATTTTTTAAAATATAGCGCTTCCACCAATTTGTCAAGAATAATTTAGGCGAAATGTTCCAAATTGGTTCGATTTCGCTAAATTTTGCCGATTTTCACCAGCAGAACAGAAATAACAAGAAGGTATCGAAAATTATTCGGCTCCCAGACGGCGTAGCCAAAATCGACCAATCACAAAATTTGATGTCGTTTTTCTTCTATGATGACGCAGGGGCATTTTTAACTTGAACCAATCAGATTTTTTTCCACATTATTCATCGTGCTGGCGCAAATATTTCAATTTTTTCAAGTTTTAAGGAATAATCCTCAGAATTGCGAAAAGGTGCGCAGGTTAACCGCCAAAAGAAGAACACATTCAGAATTTAACTCGCATTTATTGAAAAAGTTGTTTGTATTGCACATATCACTTAACTTGAGCCATTTTATTATTAACCAAATACACTATTTATATTAATTAAATGTTGCACTAGACGTCTCGTCTCCTGAAATGCCTCTCTCGTTGTAGTTCTGCAAAAAAAACAGAACGTTAACAAAAAGTTACGCAAAATAAATAAGAACTAAAAGTTCAGATTTTCATGAAATTATATATTTTGACATGACAATTGTTTGATAAAAACACGGTGTTGTCGAAACAAAAAACAGAACGTTAACAAAAAGTTACGCAAAATAAATAAGAACTAAAAGTTCAGATTTTCATGAAATTATATATTTTGACATGACAATTGTTTGATAAAAACACGGTGTTGTCGAAACAAAAAACAGAACGTTAACAAAAAGTTACGCAAAATAAATAAGAACTAAAAGTTCAGATTTTCATGAAATTATATATTTTGACATGACAATTGTTTGATAAAGACACGGTGTTGTCGAAACAATTGTCATGTCAAAATATATAAATTCGTGAAAATCTGAACTTTCAGTTCTTATTTATTTTGATAAATGGATTTTCATCAAATAAAAGCCTCCTCAGTTCAATTTTTAAAAGGTTACGCCTTCAATCTGCACAATTCTACGCGATATAGGGAGTTGAAAAATTGGCCAGCTACAGAATGTTAGTTTGAAAATTAATACTATGTATCTTTTTTAATATAAAATGTTGGACAGAAAATCAAACTTACGTCGAACGATAGGTAATATTCCATTCAGTCTTTTCCGTGTTGTGTTGACCTAGCGAACACTACGATCAGAATTCGGAGATGACGTTTAGAGTTGGGCAGCTTGAGAGTTAGTTCCTACAGTAAGACCTCGCAGACTCACGAGCTCCACAATGCGTCTTTGGGACAGTGATGTTCTTTGTACTTTTCGCACCTGGACCAAAAGGAACGCTATTTTAAACACCAAACCAATATTGAAAACATCGTGGAAATGATTATGTGCGAATATGAGTGATCGGCCCTTGGTCGTAAATGTGAAAACGCTGATTAATTGATGCCTTACTTGCTGCTGGACGAGCCAGGATCTGGATGACGGGTTCCTTATTCGCAAACGGAATTTTTTCTTAGAGATAACGTGGAGCCAAAGGGGCGTTCCTACCTCATTGCAGCAGAAACCATTCAAACGTGGTCAACGATACGAATCCTCTTCACGAAGTTCTCTTCAACATTGAACCTCACGTGCCAGCGTCGTAATTGTCTAACACCCGCATCAGATTCTTCCGTGTACTATGCGTGGTGGTCTGTACTCCTTTATACCACTCATTGCAACCTTGCAGCAAGTATCACCCAAAAGAGACAATTTGATCGTCGCAACGGGATTGAAGTGATCCAACTGTAGTTGATGTTTACAAATTTATAAGGTCCCGGATTCTGCCAGCAGTGAAGTAAACTTAGCCAACTGTGCTGAGTGACACGACGCCCGTCATCTTCTTCATATAGAACATAAAGAACGACGTGAAAATTTACCTACTAATCTCTAATATCAATAGCCCTACATATGACATTTGTAAATTTCGTGGCATCCTGTATACATGTACATACTTAAAATTATTAGACAAAAGTGTTATTATAGTCGGATTAGACCCCCAACTTAATCATCCGTGTCGCGGGATCACAGAGGGCAAACCGAACGATGAAAATGAAATTAAAACTAGCGGTCGGGGTTGAAAAGTTTCAATGGCCGTATCATATGCGAACAAGTGCACTTTAATGATTTTAAGGGCCCGTCAAAGCGGCAATTTTTATAAGGGGAGTCGTTAAATGTAGCCGGATTTTTATCCCTAGTGCCGATAACATAATTATTCGGTAGACTCGCTTGATACTTTAAAAACGCAATTAGGCCCAATTTAATGTAAAAAATGAATAAACGAATCAATGGAATCATGAAATAAATGCCAACCTGCGAGAAAGCTTTTTACAACGTTTTAAATATTGTTATTTTATTTTTTGCAGAATAACAGCACCGAGGTTTCAAGAAAACATTCTGCCATCGGTTGAACTGTTCGACTCCCTGCCTCGTTTCGGGCTTGAATTTATTTTGACATTTACCGTTGTCTTCTCATATTTTATGTCGATGGACACCTATAGAAAATGGATGGGATCGAGCTCTATCATCATTGGCATCACGTATTCAGCTTGCACGTTTATTTTCGTAAGTAACCGTATCTCCAACATTCCATTAAAAATTAATACGTTATTTATTATCGTCTTAGATTCCGTTTCTAAATCCGGTCAGATCGTTGGGTCCTTCTTTTGTGCTGAACAAGTGGAATAAACATTGGATCGACTGGTTGGGTCCGATGCTGGGCGGTATGACGTCGGGACTCATTTACGAATACATTTTCAACCCCAACCGCATCAGAAAACAGAAAAAAGCTCGCGACGAAGAATCCTCACACGTTCCATCCGACGACGATTTGAATTATGACGATTTAGATAAACCGCAACAGCCAAAATTTCATGGGTCTACGTATAACACGTATAGGTCGGCGAGCGGGATAGACACCGGCAGACCCAACTACTGCCCTAGCTTATGTTCGGCACCTCCGGCAAGATTAGAAAGGGTGGAATCTTTATATGGGGGTACCAAATCCCTATACTGTAAAAGCCCACCACTGACCAGAGCCAATTTAAACCGATCGCAGTCAGTTTATACGAAATCCAACTCGGCTGTGAATAGAGACCTGCTCCCTCAATCCGGACCGCTGGTCCCAACTCAATCCATGTACCCGATGAGGTTAAATCAACAAAATCACCTACAAAATCAAAATCTACAAAACCAATTACAACAACGAACCGAACAGACTTATGGAATAAGGGGTATAACCCCCGGTACAAGTTCTAGATCAGATAACTATGGCACAAGTGAAAAACAACTAAGGAGCGATAACTATTCCACAACTGAAAGACAACGGCGGGACAAATATTCAACGGAAAGCGCATACGGCACCAGGACTAATCCGTCAAGCTCTGATAGCAGCGATAATAATCCCCCACCCTCGAAACCAAACAGAAATCGCCCAGAGTCAATGTATGGTATTTTAGGTTCTCAACCCAGAACTTATCAGCCAAAACAAGTAGCAACATATTCAGGCCCGCCAGAAGGCCGAAACGTTATTGGTGGGCCTTCACAGACAAGGCCGCCGCAAAACAACCAAATTTTATCGCCCCCATCCAATTCTGGTTCCTATCATCACCACCACTCACCCAATCCCCAGCACTAAGTTAAAGCTCAGTATTAACGTTTAGTATTAATCACCATTAAATGTTTTAAAACGCTGTAAATATGTTTTTTATGTATATTACATGTAGTTCCTTAATTTATAAAGATTTTTGTTATTTTTTACATTTGTGATATATACGTGTATGTATATGAAGTGCAAAATGATGTGCATGTGCACATAATAAAAAAATGTATAAAAAATATTAAACGGTGGTAATTGGTGTTAATAGGTATATATTTTATAGCTGCCAACAAACCCCTGCCGTCGCGTCAATTTATTTAATTTTACACACTGGATACATATTACCAATGAAGAAATTACTTAGTAACATCTATAATTTGGCAACTTAACCAAATTCCAAACCAGTAGCAAATGTTCAAAATGCAATATAAATGGTTGAATGATCCCATCCCAAATGTAAATTGAAATTACTATTACACCTTCAGTATAATATAATGAGTATTACAAATAATAGATCTGCGTACAAGATGAAAATAAGCAAAATAAAAGGAAAAATTGTAAGCAAATCGGAAAAAATAACTCAAAAATTTTGCAGTGGTAGTAGTAGATAGTTATACAAGCGGGCCGCTGTCAAAAACAACACAATAATTTTATATAAATACCAAAAATCTATAATAAAATTTAAGAACAAAACCAAACTTTCTGCTGTTCAAATATTCAGAATCTGATTGGAATATTAAGTCTCCAGGAATTGCCTAATATGTTGGACCAATGTTCAAATTAACCACACCCTTTAAAGAGAGCAATCCCTTAACAAAATTTGGTCCAATAGGAGTATGGCAGATGCCATCTTGGCCATTGTCGATTTTCTATGGGCAGCAACGACCAATACGAAGATCTTTGCTTCTGTCCATGAATAGTAACTTTCCATAGATAAAAAAAGAGTTGTAACTATTTTCTAAAAACTTTAGAGATTGTTAACCAACAAGCAAACTAACAATAACAAAACAAAAAAAGTGCACATGTAAGAGATGGAAGGTATGCAAAAAAATACGATAGACAAAGAAAACATTGACTATAAAAAAATCAAAAATGAAAGAGATGAATACTTTGAACTATTGAGGAACTGGTTGGATGATGCCAGGTTGTGGCAAAACATTTCGACAAGAGCTCCTTCGCCTGCCGGAACCAACCAAAATTCACATCTAAATTCGTCTAGAAACTTTGCACAATCATATGTATGGGATCAAAATTTTATAAATAATATATTACGACAAAGAGTACCTCTTGGTGGATACTATACTACACTAGGAAATCTACAAGACATTCCTCTATTCGCGACATATCCATGTAAGTCACTAACTTATTTTCTTTAAATTGTTTCAAATATTATATTTATAGTCAACTTAACCCCAAACGTCAGACAACCCCCAACTAGTTATGAATTTGTTATTCCTCCATTGTGGAAGAGATTAGTAGCTGAATTTATAGACTTCATGATACTGTTTAGCGTCAAGTTGGCATTGACATTTTTACTAATGGAAAGCTTCAATTTTATGTAAGAAATAAGATATCTGTTGTATTGGGTACCATCAATTGAATTTTTTTGTAGAAATCTTGATTTTTATGGCTTTGAATCATTCCAAAAAAAATTAGAAAACCCTGATATTGCTTATCCTATGGCACTAGAAATTCTAACCCTAGAGTTCTTGCACAGATTAGTGGTTTGTGCTTTTGAGGTAAGTCGCAGCGGATAAAAAGACAAAACTACAAGGTGTTATATTGAGTGTATTGATTTTATAGACGTACTTCCTCAAAGGACAACTTTGTGCAACCCCTGGAAAGCGATATATGGGACTTATGGTCATCAAAGTAAACACTTTAAACCTGGTACCCGGCCGGGCCATACAAACGGTAACTGCAACTGGAGCTTCACCTCTAGGTTGGCAGAAATCACTATTAAGATCTGTTCTAAAAACATTTATTGTTGGCCTCTTACTGCCCTTATGTATAACATTTTATATATTTCCACACAATCGAACTAGTTATGACATGATGACAAATACATTAGTTGTTGAAAGTAACTCAGATTTTTTAATGTATCATGGTCTTGCATAATTATAAAAGTTACACAAAAGCTGGAAATTTTGTCCTCTAGTCTAACGTGATATATGGACTGGCCAACATTTTGTGATATAGTAATTATTGCTATATTTTAACAAAAAAAGATATGCTGGATTTTAAGGGCAAATTTTTACAAGAATATTACTGCTAACTTCTAACTTTCAGTAACAATCCAACTGTGATAAAATTTACAAATTCAGGCACCTGCGTTGATATATTTAAGACAACTTGAAATTTATCTTCAGTAAAATAATATTTAGGTAGGCCATTTTATGTCATATATACCTCATGTATTCTTTTAACTGTTCTCCAATAAATGCTCTATTTGTAGTATTTTCTCCACTGTTAAATTTTTATTGATACAAGGTTCCAAACTATGCTTTGCTTCAGTGAAAAACTTGTGTACTTATGAATTATTGTTGAATTATTTGAATAGTTTGTTAACATTATGTCACACACGAAAAGTAAATAAATGCCAAATGGCAAATAAAAATATTGTTTTATTCGAAACTGCAGCCAAGATACTTTTTTACCGACGGCTGCCTCCAGAGCTAAACCAATCCACTAAGAGGTTAAAAAAATTGCGGAGGGCCCAAAAAATAATATCAATTTCGTAAGAGACAACATATTTACCCCACTTATCGCGCTACTGTATTTCCGTCAAAACAATGCTAGAAATGCATGTTACAAATAAAAAAAAAACAAAAACTTCAAGTGATATACGATAGTGCCTATACTAACTAGAACCTTTGAAATTTCTGTCAAATTTCTTCCCCCACCAAAAATTTATTGAATGGAATCCTGCTTTCTAATCATATTGTTTCCTTACTTTTCGAGAACGAAAAAAAAATTTGAATAAAATTCTTCATATTGAAACTAGAATAGAAACTTTTCCCTTTTTAACCGCCGTCAACGCGCATCAGCATGTCTTGGAGTTAAGAAAACAATCTTTAATTTTTCAAATCTAATGCAAAAATTTATTGCAGCTGAAAAATAAAATAAAAAGAAACGTGTATTAAACATATTTCGGGTTTTTACAGTTACCACATAAAAACGTAAGTGTAATGTATAACATATCGAGATATGTTACATTTAATTCGGTAATACTCGGTAAATATAGATGTATAATAATAATTAGTATCAATATCGAAAACGACAAAAATCACGGAGAGTAGATAATTCAAATCTGTAAAAAGTTGAAAAATAGATAACGACAAATCAATTGCCAATTGGCAGTGTGTTGCAGGAAAAACTCATTCAATATTCAATCAAGATTTATCGATGTACATTTTGTCAGACGCCTAACAAAATCGAGCGAAGGCTTTCTTTTGGGCACCGCCCCCACCATTGCCGGCAAAAAGAAGGCCCTCACTTTACAAAATTCAACGTCGGTTACTACTAATGCAAAATTTCATTTTGCAATGATCACAGAAATGAACATTTTGTATTTTTATTTACATATATATATCAAATGAAAAAAAACCTCCCTGAATGTATCCTCTTAAAAACCTTTTGAAAAATTTACATATATTACAATTATGAAGCGAATCTCATTTTATAAAAAAAAGTCAGGGTACCACAAAGACGCCATCAAGTTATTTGGTTTACGATTTGTTCGGTACCTATCTAGGTCTATAAGTACTCGGATGAAATTCGTCCAACCTAACCGAAGAGAAGAGAGAACCCCCAAAAAGTAGAAAAAATGTATTAACGAAATAAAATGAAAAATGACACCGCTATTCTGGCTAACAAAAAAAAATCCATATAAAGTTTAACACTTATACTATTAATATTTACAGTAACATTTACGAAACTAAAATAAAAGATGTACAATATGTACAGGAGTACAAATTTTATTACCGCACAACTTCGAAGGATCGTACCCCGTATATGGAGCGCCATTTAGGCAAAGATATATGCGAACAATAAAGTTAAAAAAAAAAACTCTACACATAAAAATAAGTTAAATCGAGACAAAAACGCGAACGTAATTTCTAATTTTAGGCATTAATTATAAACCAACCAATACTGATACATATAATCACGCGCACTTTTTTCATTCCACAGCAAAAATGATACAGCAGTTTCTAAAGAACCAACGGACGAATTAAAATATTAGACACACATCAGTTTTAAAGTCGGTGTATCAATAGTGGTCAATCTAGTTTAGTAATTACCAATTTAAATGATAGCTACAAATTGTGTTTTTTTACCCGTACTATAAAATGGCTTCAAGTGCCTTGAAAGAATTAGTTTTCTTCTTGTTTACCGAAATGACGGATTCTTTAAGGTTTTTCTTGAAAACTACAGATAAGGAAAGCAAACTGATAGGAATGTTTTAAATTATACGTAATAACAGACAAAAAAATATAAACATCATATGTAAGCGAAATAGGTTTCAATTAAATGTTAAAAAAGTACTCGAAAACCGCAAGAAAAAATGTGGGAAACTAAGCGCAGAAAAAAAATATCAATTCGCTAGTAGCGCTGTTTTTAAATTTTAATTAATTAACTAATACATTTTTTACCAAAATGACTCTCAGTAAAAATAAACGATTAACGTTCTTAGCGTGGTGTTTATTGCTTGAGGTTCAGATTAATTTAGAGCAACATTTATAGTTCACAGGTGCGTAAATGTCACAAATCCGTAAAGAAAAAAAATGCCGTGATATATATTTTTTCTTTAATTCTTAAAGATACGGAAACGAATTTTTTTTAACAAGTTTAAACTTTCAGAAGGGAGTAGAAAAAATATATTCTTAGATTAGGGCAGCGACACCAGTCTCGGATATGGAACCGGTAATGGACACTTTCAACATTTTAGAAAATAAAAATAGCCTTTTTAATGCTGATGAGACAGCTATTTCCTTATGTCCTACAACTGGGAAAGTTCTGCCTCCAAACGGCATTAAAAATATATACGATGTTTCAAAGACCTCGGAAAAAGAATACCTGCAAAAATTGTACAAATTTTTCCAAAAGGCTGGGGTTGAGGGAAATGTTTATCTTTGAATACATGGCAAATATTGCTGTACTCTGGCTTACAAAAAATAACATGCAACGTCCTTTCAGTCGATGAACATAAAGCCCACTTACTTAACACTGCATCTTAGCATGTTTTTGCGTGAGAAGGAAATTATTTTGGTGGCATTTTATGCAAATGCCGCCCATTTAATACACCCTCTTGCTGTGGCAGTCTTTTCCCCCACTAAAATGTAAATGGAAAACCTACCTAAGAAAGTGGCTCATTGAAAATGAAAACAAGCAATTATGTTTATATATTTTAGTTTATAAATGTTAAATTTATTTATAAGTCTGACTTTATACCTAAGTACCTTAACTGTTTATTATCCTTACCATTTTTTTAAAGCTTTGAATTTTGTGCAATATAAATTATCGCTTTAGGAATCTTTTTTTCCACTCTTTAATTATGTTTTCTAGAACATTAATTATTTTTCTGCACCTCTCAAATTAGTATAATTTAACAGGGTACCTGGATAATTATGCACTATAGCTAAAAAATATAAATAAAATATAATGACCATTACTGGATTAACAAGCGCCCAAATTAGGATTGGTAAAAAAAGTGCCTGTCCATAACTGGGACAAAAATATACATCTCAACTGTAATTGAACTTTCTTTTGGAATACATAATTTGGTTATTAAGAAAAATGAAGCGCCTTTTTCAATAATGTATTATATGAGACTAATTCCTTGAAGTGTCCATAACTGGTCCTATCCTACCCTACTATTTTTTAGTTTACCCACCACGCTAAACAAACTTCGCCCAGATTCGGTTTAGTTTACCCCACTAACAAAATAATCATTAATCTTTCGAAAGTAGCATAAATAAAAATTACCTTTCCAGTTCAATGAATCATTTTATGAATTTTTAAAATTTTGCCGAGACGTTGCTTGACGGTTTTCATGCCTTTACGGGGCTTCGGTGGCGAATGATTTTGATGGGTTTGGCTGGTATTATTTGAACTCGCACCTAAATTGGACGAATTACTCCGTCCCGATTGGCTGCTGCCCGTACTCGAAGGACTTCGCAGGTCCATCTTTGGTTTCAGCTTCTTTCGACGATACTGCCTTTTCGGCGACTGTAAACAAAAAGTAACAACCGTTGTAGCCACCGATTAGCAATGACAATTAAGAAAAATTCTCACTTTTTCTGGTGACTCGTTCACCCTTCGCGCGGCAGCTGCTTCTAAGACCTTCTCGATGGCTTGTTTTTTGGTACCTTCTCGGGCGGGACGGTTCATTTTAGGCAAGAGAGGACCGACGCGAGCTTTCGGGTTCCACGCTTCGTCGACCTTGGTTCTACCTCGGGGCTTGAATATATGAATGTCTTCGTCGTCCGAGTTGTCTAACGATGGATAAACTACAACAAAAGTTAAGCGTAAATAACACTCCAAAAACTACTGAAAATTCTTACTGTAATCCTCATCCTGATGTACATTATTAACGTCCTCTTCTAGACTCTGCGAGTATCTCCTCGCCTTGGTCGTCGACCAATTTTGACTTATGGAGAGCATACCCGCTATGGCCTCTGACGTCGATGGTGAAGTTTCCCCTTGAGATCGTCCCCTAAAATTATCCCCCAACAATTAAATCGGAATTTAAAACGTTAAAACAGAAAAACTAACGGGACCGTCAAGGACGCCTGAAGCAGCGATTCAATTCCATTCGTGCTTATGGTAGGTTGGAGTTTGTTCCTACAGTGTTTAGTTTTCCCGCCTACGACAGACAAAACGTTTTCCCTAACCACGTTTTTAGCAGGGTACAAATGAACTACCTGGCAGGTGCGTTTTAACGCCGCCCCTTTTCTTCTGGGGCGGTCGTTCGTCGATTGTAAAATTTAAACAGTCTTCATCTCTATCACTATCGTCGTGAAAAGCGTATACGTCTTCACGATTATCAAAACCATCTCCGTAAGGATCTTCGGGTATATTCATATCATTCGGTATAACCGGTGGAGGGATTATATCCTTCGCACTTCAAGATGGAAAATATATAACGCGTTAGATATAAGATGATGCGAGATTTTTTTTATTTTTATTTTTTTTTGTAAATTGAGTCCGAGCGCAACTAAATATTAAGCCAAATACTTAAATCTTTATCATAGTTTCATTCTTTAAAATACGTCAGATTAAAAGTGGCGAGTTATGTTAACATCAAAACTTACTTTTTATCACTAATTGCAATGGAGGAACCTTAACAGCATATTTAGAAGATAAAAATACGCAAAAATGTGCACCTATGTCCAAAAATGTTTCTTTTCACGTTTTGAAATTTTGCCAAAAAGGTTTTTTCTTTCAAATATCATTTAAAAACAAATTTATAGCATAAACTGTTTTTGTTTAACCAGTGGAATTCGTTTTAATTCATCAAAAAAGTTACGCCAATGGTTTAATAAATTTATATACCCTGAAAAACGGTCTCCTTAATATCTGAGGTTTGCAAATTAAACTAAGATATTTAACGCAATTTAAATTTGTTTCGAATTACATAACAATTTCAGAAATAATAGCTAACTTTATTAATTTAATTATAAATTTAAAAGCAAAATTTTAGGATTTTTATAAATAGAAAAAAACCCTTTTTTCCGCAGTATTTCAACACCTGAAATAAAGTTTTTAGGATATAAGTTTATACGAAATTTTTTACTTATTTTTATCTGCTCAATGTGGCGTTAAAGTTTCTCCATTAAAATTGGGGTCGCTCGGTATTAAATGATATGCTATACCTATATTGTTTTGAAATTATCACTAGCACGAAAAAAAAACATTAACTTTCCCTAAATCCAGTGGCGTAGATATCACCGCTACGTCATCATATAAGTTATAGATGGCGCTACTTTGTGTTGTTTTTAGTAACATTTAGTGGTAATTATATAAAATGTGTACTAACACGGCGATTTATTTTTATTTCGAATTAAAATGGGAGGTGCTTGCTTGACTTGTAACATTCGAAAACGGGGATACAATATTAACGTTTTTTAAAAAATAATATGCAGAAAAGTATTTTACAGATGCCCCATCTCACTAAAATTAAAGTGCATTTGTCTTTAGTTATTTCTACCATGGTATATTCGTTTTTCACTATTCTTCACAGCGGTTGAAGGTAAAGGAAGGAGAGAAATAAAAAACGCACAAAAGCCATCATTAAAAAAATCGTAAAGAAGCTAAGGTTTAAAGATAAGTAAACAACCAATGGCACCACAATTGAAGTATCTTACCTGAGTTTAAACTTAAGTACAGTTCCGCCCTTATATTCGGCAACGGTTTCTTGAGGACGATCGAAAGGCAAGTTCCAGAACTGAACGTTGTCACTGTTTTGGCTATTTTGAATGTTAAACACCTGCTCCTGATTGCCGAACAACAGTGATGAATCCGCAGCGGATCGAACGTAAGGAAAAGTTACAGGCTTAGGAATGGTTAGTTTTATGTTGGGATTGGGATTAATCTTAGGATATTTCATGATGGGTGTAATGTTTTGCTGCTGTATCGATGGCAAATACTATCGAAGGTAAAAATAAGAAATACATATTAAAATCGGTAAGGCAGTAACTTACATCTGAGGTTAAAGCTTTCGGTGACATTGAATAATCTACAAAATCTTTATTAACAGGTTTCCTTCTTTTCCGTTTCGACTCGCGTTCGGGTTTCGGGGGATTCAAATGGTTGATAATACGCTCCGCGTGTCTAATTTCCTTCCCTAGGTCTTTTAATAATTTTGGTATATTTATATGAGGCGGGATTTGTTCTCTGACGGCAATATTGTACTAAGAAATATGTAAAATCTGAACTAGACACTTGTAACGATTCTAGAGTACTTACATCTTTTTCATTATTCCACTGTTTTATAGCTTGCTGCAATGCCTTCAAGCCACCTAGGAGTGACTCGGGACACGTGGCGTCTCGTGAAGAATTGATTTCGATCAGCTGTTCCAATAACCTCACCGCCGCAAAAAAGTTTATGGTTATAAAATTCGGATACAAGAACTTTCTTTCCGTTTTTGTTTTCTTTTCGATTTCAAAGCAACTAAAATAACAACAATCGGACCGAAAAATACGATGGGACGCCTAAAATATACTGACCTTAACTGCATTGTAATATTAAAGCTATGTAAAAAATTCCCACCAAATACCAATGAATCGGCAGGGGTATAAACTGCGTGTATCCAACCTGTTGGTATTAACATTGTTTGACCTTGACGTACATGGCACTTGTAACAAATATCAACCTAAAATCCATATTCAAATTAATCGAAAGGAAAAACAAAGTCCAGTAGTTCTTACCTGATCACCAAAAAAAGTTTCACTTTGGTTTGTAGAAGTCATCCACTGAGAGTATAAGGTGAGATTGGCAGGGGTAGGCTTTACAAAGAAAAAAATCTTTTCCCCTTTCAAAACATGATACCAAACACTGGTTCCCCCAAAGTCTATATGAAAATCTGTATAGGAATCTTTAATGCTCATAAGGCAATATTTTTGAACTTGCGGTCGCCCTTCGTAATTTGGAGGCCATATGCAATTTGCCCAGTCCAATTGTCGAGCTATTTGCGGGGGTTCTATTATGTTTGTCATTCTGCAAACACATGCTTTCTAAATTATCAAGTATTTCTAGAGAATTTACAAAACTTCTGGCAGCGTATTTAGCAGATAAAAATAAGTAAATAATTTCTTACAAACTTATGTCCTAAAGCGGTTTATTTCAGAGATACGCCATTGAAAGTTTCTGAAAAAAAAAATCGTTTTTTCTTTTCAATTTTTTTAAAACAGTCTTTCCTATTTTGCTTTCAAAGTTGGTAGGTATTACTGCCACTAAAAATAGTATATTATGCAACAAGTGCGGTAAACGACATTTGACTCACGAGTTTATTTGACACGAGCGGAGCGAGTGTTTAATAAATGAGTGAGTCAAAAAGTTTACCCAACCTGTTGCATACTATACTTTTTCTACGACCGTTAGTTTTTGGGTACATTTTCGCAAAACACGAATACATTCACTGACATCCCACTGCTCCCGGAAATGTCCGAAGTGGCTCGAATTCTTGGGAAACGAAACTGACGTGGTAAAACGATGCTTCCCGCACGCTAGATCGGTGCGTAATTAGGTGTTTTACAGCCGGGAGTAGAAAAACAAATTTACAGCATAGAAAAACTTGTTCTTGTTTACCAGTGGCACTCGTGAGATCATTTAAATTAACTTAAACACAAAAAAAGTGGTATGATAATGGTTTATCACAATTTTATCAATTCTAAACAAAAATGTTTTCTTCCGTTTTACGCTCAAGGGTAGAGAAAAGAAATTTGTTTGTAAGGGCAAAAATCTCAGGAATGCCACTGGTTACATAAAAATAAGTTTCACTATGCTATACCTTTGTTTTTAAGTGGCAATTATAATTAGCAAGTTTGAAAGCAAAATCTAGAAGAGATTTTTTTAAAACGGGGAAAAAGGATTTTTTCGCAAAATTTAAACACTATCCCCAAAATAAAGCATTTTAGGACATAAGTTTATTTAATTTTTTTTATCTGCGGTATAAATTGTTAAGTTTCTCGAGTATAATTCGGACCACCCTGTATGTAAAAATGCTACAACTCACCCAGTATTGGAAAATTCAAGGCTGATAACATTAAATATTCTAGTGCGATTGTAATTGCGAAAATAATCAACAAAATCTCCCAAAGTCATTCTCAGATTGGTTTGTCGACACACATCAATTACGTCGATTTCTTTATGATCACCAATAAGTCTCTGAACATCTACATATGAGAAATTTTCTGGTGGCATTACCATGTCCAAGCCCTCTCTGTCATCCACAATTATAGGGTTGTTAAAACCATTGAACTCCAAAAATTGTTTTGTCAGTTCATAGCCCGTCACTTTTGTGATGATTTCATCTGCAGGCGTAAAATGTCGTGTACAAAGTTCTTGGATAAATGCCGGAGTGCCTGTTTGTACTGGTTTATTTGTAGCATTTTCATCCCAGTAGTCATGACGATGTGAGTTGTAAATCGTTTTATCTATAAACAAACCATAGATAAAGCATTGACTTGATACTAAGGGCATTTTCCCTTACGGATCGAAGGGCCTATAACGGGACTGCACCTTGGACAATGATATTTATCTATTTCAATTGCTTGCCACTCTCGGAAATTACAACAACTAAAACAAATAACATACCTCTTCTCGTTAAATCAAGTTCCGATTTTAACTCTTTTGTTTATCCTTACCTACTGTGAAACCAATCCTTACAGGCATCGCATTGTATCATAAAAATGTCCGGGTTGTAAGGTTGCCCACACAGACAATAGGACGGCTCGGTATCAGCTTGAACATCGTAACCGTTAACATTATAATTTGTTTCTGATAAATCCATTCCGAAATATGGATTAATGTTATGTTGTGCCTGCAACATTTTTGACGGGTATTTTGTTGTCACACGGTTGACATATTCGACATATTCCACTTCACAGTACCAACCAACAACCGACAAGACTGTTTAGGAATCGAAAAGTCTCTAAAATCGTAACGCATTCAAAACGTGCCTAATCGAATTTTAAAACGCATTTCGACTATGAATGAAATATAGTATATTTCGTAGTACTACGCCAAACATTTTTTCTATAAACGACGCCATTCTATTTTCTGCATATCATTCAAAACATATACGACGTATTGGGATTTCAACGCCAATAGTGCGTACAGTTTCCTATTTCATTCTAGTGAAGCATCTACCAATTTCCATTCGTCACGAGCAACATTTTTTATTCCGATCCACAGATGGCGCGACATACAGGCAATGCAGTTTTCCGCTCATTTATGAATATTAAATCTCATTTCGCATATTTCCGGACAATTTAAAAGCTTCTAACATGAACTTATGCGAATTTAATGACGGCAAATATTTTTCTCATGCCGTTGTGGTTCGTATTGCGTCCCTATGAGCAAAAGAGCTGCATCTAAACGCATAAGTTTTTCAAATCAATCAGATTAAACACCTAGGGAATACAAACGAGAGCAACAACAATAGAACATTGACAAGATATATCCACGAAAATTTGCCCCAAGCAAAATTCATTTTAAATCTACGGTAAAATAATAGGCGTGGCCAGGTCCATTTATTTCTATTGGGACAGACACATACAAGGTAGAGGCGGCCCAAATTCTCCTTCTTGGGAATCTTCATTTACCTAATCGAAGCCCATTTTCGGACCCTCGTTTTTTCCGTTTCCCAACATTCTCCCGGTTGTATTTATACGTTGTGCCAAAGAATGTCCTTGGCGCCGAAAGAACCTTCTCAAATTAAGATACGTCGTATGCGTATTTGCACTAATGCCGAATGGTATTAGGCAATTTACCCAAAAGGTCTTACGGGTATTAATTCGTGATTGAAACAAGGGAATCGTACAGGTTAACGAGGTTAACGACGTGGACCTTTTGAACGTATTAATTCGATCACTTTGAAGGATCAGCCTTGTTATAATATTTGTCCAGAGAGAGGTCACAAGATTAACTTATATCCTGGATATTTATACGAGCCACGTCTCTATGATAAAACGAACGGCTTAAGCCACTGTTAGGATCCCGCTACCAAGTAACCGTACATTAAAACTAATGACGAGTATGTTCATCAATCCTGGTGATGCTTTTGCCGGATATTTCCGGAGCGATTGGCCGTGCGTGAAACGGACTATGTGCGGGTCGTGTCTCTTGAGACGAATTTTCATTTCTTAAGCCTTTACACGGCTGTACAGGGTGAATAAACTCAAGCACTATTGATGACTTGTTCAGTACTGAAGATGCGAAGTCTCTTATTTCCGATAATTTTTACCACTTTCAATATAAGAAATTCTGTTTTTTTTCTTCTAAAACCAACAATAAAAGAGCTATGAAATTGTTTCGTTTGTGCGAAGAAATTTAGGAGAAAATTCGAATAATTAGTGCTAACATACCTAAAATTAATTAATAAACAAACAAGTCATAAAATCTAGAGAAAAAACAATTAAATGTTCTTAATAAAAGCTAGAAACAAATAAAATTATTACACATTAAAAAGAATAAAAACAATACAGCTATAAAATGAATGATTAAACTCGGAAAATTAATTTATTTTATTCTAAAATGAGTTGCAACCTCATTAGAAATGTAAATTGCGAGAAAAGTCAGGGCCATCTTTGCATCTATCGAATCTATGTTTTGTCTGTACGTTAGAACCATGAAATAATTATTAATTGTAAACAAACATTTATACCAACTATAATGCCATTAGCTTAATAATGTTTTTATTTTAAATTTCAATAAGATTTTATATTTAAAAAATGATTAAAAATCGATTAAAACATATATACTGAGTGTGGGATTGTTTTCTCTATTAATTAAATTATCTAAACAAATTATAAAAACTGTAAGAACCAACTATGGTTACCAACCGTACTATTTTATATAGTATTGAATTATATTTCAACTCAGCGTATTATATACTGCTAAAGAACTATGCAGTGCTTAAATATACTAAATTTTTGCGTTTTGGGATGCGCTCGTGCTGAACACTGGACTTTCTTTGTATTGCTGGTTGACTACCGCGCCGGCGTCCTTTTAGTTTGGCATTTACCATGAGACGAAAAAAAATTGCTCAATTTCATTCGATTTTTGCTCTTCACTCTTGCCACACCTGCTTCTACGAAAAGATTTTTTTCGATTATGAACCGGGCGAGATGTAATTAATAAATTCGTAATTAATAAAAAACGAACTTAAAAAAAATACCAATTTGGATTTACAAGCCAATCTCCCAGCTATTTAATATGATGGCAAAATTAGACATTTTTATAGTTTAGGTAATAAACGGAACACCAGTAAAATACATTTTGACAATGACAAATATTTTTGTCATTTTGATAAGTTATTAAACTTCCTTTAATTAAAACTAAATATGCGTTATTAATAATAATAATTAAGTGGGATTATGCAGGGAACAGCCTTAGAACAGTGTCTGAAATATTTTCTGTTTATTTTCCTGCCAAAACTACACCTTCGGTTTCAACAATTAAACAAACACAAACAAATAACTGCAAATGTTCAGTCGATAATAGAGCAGAAGAGACAATAGAGATTTTACTGCATGTGGAGGAAAACACAATGATTAGTACGAGGATACATTAAAAAAACGCAATTATTTTTCTTATAAATACGAAAAGCACCAAAAGCTTCGGGAAGACGATGAAGAAAGAAGATGATGTGATGATGATATGTCCTTGCCGGCTTGACGTCGTCAATTTTTGATAACGGCGTCATGGAAAATATTCGCTGGTGTTTGTTGTATTGACCTTTTGCAATTTTGTCATCATATTTAATTCAATAACTGAAGATTGCCTGCCCGTTCAAAAAGTTATACTATAACTTTGCTATAAAATATACAGGGGCGCCAACAGTTGGCGACCTAAAAATTTACATTTAATGTTGATACATATTTTTCTGGGGATAATATTTATTATTACAAATAAAGCAAATCGGTATAAAATAAGGTCATCACCCGCACCGAAAATTAGAGCGGGAATCGCTGGATCGATAATCCAGTTTAAAAGTGATCTTAATCGCACCCCGTACAAAGTAAAAAGGAAAAGATCAATTCGGGATTGAAGAATTACAGACGCTACTGCCGCGGTTGCCCGCCCACCCTGCCGGAATATTTAAATGAAATAGGGGGTGTCGATTAAAATTCAGCATTCCAAACTCCATTCGATAAAAAAATCACAAATTTTATTTCGCCCGAATGAGCCCGGAATAATGATCAAGACGGAGAAGAGAGAAAAAAAAAAGAATTTCGCATTTTTCCGAATCCGTTTCGTTCTGTATAGCGTTAAGTTTCAATTCTATGAATTAAACACTGCATATACAGGGTGGATCGGTCTAATTTAACAGGACTTACAGTCGGTGGAAAGTTTAAAATCAACTAAGCACAAATAATTATAATCTACAGAGCTACAATGCGCACTTATTACTAATAGTAAAACATTGGCGTAGATATGGACGACGAACTCAATTTTTAGAAAAAAAAAAGTGGTGCGCCACTGCTTTGTTCAAAATTTACGATGATCCAGTTAATATGAAAATAATTACTCGAAATTTGATGGAGTTGTAAATATTTTGTGAAAATAAAGAGATTCGGTTATGGATCTTTTCCATTGGTTGCGATTCTCGCGATGTATAAGTAAATAATATGTTTAAGACCCTATAACATCGTAAATAAGTCGTTAATCGATACTCTAGTCCTGATTATGATGCTCTTGTAGCAGAATCTACAGTATCGTTGCACTCTTTCTGTTCTGGCGCATATCTACAGTTTAATAAAGGCCCTGGCCGATCAGGTCTTTGATTTAATCCACCCCTTTCCCTCGATTATTAGTAATTGCAGTTAGTCTGTTCTTGCAGTATGACCGATGTATGTTACAAAACTTCGGTTTATGAATTTGGACAGATTTAGTTGAGTATTTAATTGTTGAAGAACAGAATCATTTGTATGCCCCCATTTGTCTAGGTTTCTGCTCCATAACTGGCAAACGTGGAACACAGTGACGTATACTAAAAGAAAAATTATCATTTGTCTCAAAAAACGTTTGCCACAGCGAACACTGCCAGCGGTCATTTTATTCGTTTTATGTTGAATCATTTTGAAACAGCATTAAGTTTATAAAACTTTCAAAACTAATCTAAACTAACAAAACAGAAAAGGATTTGCAGATGTTAACAATAATTAAAGAAAATTATAGTCATCGGAACTTAATTTGAATTTGATAGTTAGTTTACAGTTTTAACACCCCGTATGTAGAAAACTGTTATACGAACTTTTTTTGTTAATTTTGAAAGAATTGTGGAGTGTTAAACCACTTATATCGGACCGCTACGAATAAAAAGGCGAGCCCGTCTCTGGATTTATCGTTATTGTAAGATGGAATCCGGAAAAGGGAAGGGTTAACATCTTGGGAGAGAATTTAAAATAAATCCCTCTCAGCCACGCGGACTCTGCGGCTTTAATTGATTTAATTACATTGTGTTAATTAGGGTAGCTGTTTGGAAGCAATTGAATATAACCCCAATCCCAGCCACGGCGTGCAGCTTTAATGCCTAATACAGAAGGCATTTAGCGAAAAGGCCTAAACATCAAACGCTCATTTCGGAAGCAATTCCGTCAACAGGGACTTTTGCTATTGTTCTGTCTTGAAAAATCGAAAAACTTTTCCCATAGTTTCGCTTTTGGTGTTTTCGAGACTTTAAAATTACGAACTACGGTAAATTTTCAATTCGTAGCAGCTGCGACGAATTTTGATAAACGACGCGTTTTTGTAGGTCTTTCATTGCATACTTATCCCCGACGCTGTTATAATCTAGAGCTAGAGAGAGCTAAGGAGAAGCAAAAATTGCAAAATAAAATTTTAACAGACATCATTTTTTTGTTAATTTTTGAAAGAAACTTCCATAGGCGACTGTTATATTTTTTACAAAACTTCTGAATTCCTGCTGCGTCGGTTTTTGTTTGCTAACGTTTCTTCAGAGCTTCACTGAAACTGGCTCGCATTTTATTCTGTACCTGCTTGTATATTGTTTGAGGGGGTGGAGCTAAATGAGCTAAGTTGGTGACAGGTAAAAAAC